ACCTGTGTGACCTTGGGCCCGTCCCTTGGCCTCTCTGAGCCTGTTTCCCGACCCGCCCGCCGCACTTTTGCGGACACACGTTCTGCTGGGTGACACGTTGAGGGGGTGGTTCTCTGGGAGCACAGCTGTTGGCACTTGAAAAGGCGTCCGGACTTCAGCACACACCGGCACGGCCCACGCGCCCCCTCTGCCGAGCGGGTGCCCGGCACACACTGAGGGAGACAGAGGCGGGATGTGGTCGATAGCCCCTCTTAGGGGCTGCTTCCTCCTGAAAGGTGGGGGGGACACCTGGAAGCCTTGAGCTCTGCCTGCGTGCAGGTCCTGTCCAGTGAGGGTGTTTCCCAGAGCGAGAAGTAATCACACTTTTTGCTTTTTTTTCTAAGAATGCTTGTGGGGCAGAGTAAGACAGAGCTTCCCTTGTCTCAGGGCAGGCCAGCCGAGGGAGGTTGGTTTTCTGGTGCTCTCACCACAAACAACAAAGGGCCAGAGGCACAAAGCATGTTCTGGCCGTTGGCCCTGCGCCAGGGAACCTGGGCTGTGGCCCTGTGGGTCCTGTGGGCAAGGGCAGCCACCTGGCCACCCAGAGCAGCCTGGGTCCCACGCTGGACCCCTGGGAGGGATTGGCACCTGTGTCCCTGGCTGACCCAGCCATCCCTCAAGCCTCAGAGTGTCCAGCAGCAAAGGCAGGATTAGCAAAAGTTGGGGGTGGGGCTGAAGCCGGGAGCGTTTCTGAGACCTAGCTCATCCTGGGAGAGGCCGGTACAGGCCCTGATAGCCCCCAGGGCCAGGTAGGAAGGTGCGTTTTCCCTTCTCGTGCCTGTTCTGTTTTACTTTCTGGATGCCCCCGCAGGTCCCTGCGCTCCCTCATCCCCCACCCCCGACCGCGCGCCTGGAGGATCAGGCTCACTGTCCCTGCCCAGCGTGGGCACAGCCTCCGGGAGCTTTTGGAGCCCTCCGTGGCACCAGGCCAGCCTAGAGTCATGGTCTGTGGGCCAAGGCTCCTTTGGGCGTCACTGCCCCTTGCCCCACCCCCCAGGTCCTGTTTTGCTGCAGAGCACTGGGGGCGGGGTGGGGAGGCCTGCGGCCTCCGGAGCCTGGCCGCCCTCTGGCCCAGGAAGCACGTGGCCATGTGCTGGGGTGCAACAGGAAGTGCCAGCAGCTGTGGAGACCTCGGAGGGAGACCCTGGCCAGGATTTTTATCTCTCTGCCCAGTCTTTGGAAAAAGTATTCTAAAGTAACTTGGTCTCTCCATTTGCCTTATGTCTTGGCTCAACTCTCTCAGTGGTTTCTCACCTGGACGAGGGCTGCTGCCGGTGTGGCCACCCTGCCCCCAGGCCTAGGCCCTCTGTTCCCGGCTCACTGCACGCTGAGAGAAACTGAGGCAGCAGAGTCAATAGCCTTCCCCAGCGGGTCCCCCCAGGATGTGGCTGGGCTGGACAGAGTGGGGTCCACAGGGATGGACTCCAGGGCGCCCTTTCCCTGTGTACCCCCAGATTCCCACCCCTGTCTTCCGAGTCTCCCATGTTTCTTCAGGTCATCTGAGTCCCCGTAACTCTGTCCCTCTCGGAAGTCAGGTGTGGCTACAAGGTGGGCCTCTAGACTTGCCCAGTGTCTTCACCTAAAGTGTGGGGTTGATGACTGCCCCACGGCAGGTGGGATGTTTCTCATGGGCCTGGTAGGCTCATGTGTCGGCTGGTGGTATCCAGTGGAGGTTGGCTCCGGGTGTGGACACAGAGTCCTAGCCCCACTCCCCGGCTGGTGCCCTGCCAAAGGGGGTGCTGGTAGCACTTGGCCCACAAGGTTAGTGTGAGGCTGTAAAGGTGGAAGGTTGTGAAAAGGGCTCAGGGCAGAGCTGGCCTGGATGGGCCCCAGGTGGAGTACCTCTCTGAGCTGGTGTGGCCGCTTCCCCGCAGGTGCACCTGCAGACGCAGCAGGAGGTGAAGCTGCGCATGACTGGCATGGCGCTGCAGGTGGTGCGCTCTGACGGCGTGCTGGCGCTCTACAATGGGCTGAGTGCCTCCCTGTGCAGACAGGTGCATCTGGGGGCTCCCCCACCCCGGGTGGCGGGTCCCTGAGGTCCTGGTCCCAGAGCCCGCACTCAGTCCCAGCAGGCAGGAAGGTCGCTGCCCCCTGGCCCCCAGGCTAGTTGTGGCTGCTTACACGGGAGGAACCTCAGGCAGGGGAGCCAACAGCGCCCAGGGTGGGGGTGGGAGGTGCTTCTGCCTTGCACAGGGTCAGCCACTGTCACAGCGGCCCGAGACCTCCACCTTCGGGTGGGAAACTGAGCCCAGGGAGGGGAGAGGAGGGTGTGAGGCCTGGACTCAGCCCCAGGTTTGTGAGTTGGCTCAGCTGCTTGCTGGCTGTGTGGCCTTGGGCATGTCCCTTGGTGCCCCATGGTCCACGTGGAGACCATTGCACTGGAGGACCAGGGCTGTGAAGTGTGCCCAGCGCCATCCGCCCGCAGCATCTGAGTGGGGCCCCTTCTCAGATGACCTACTCCCTGACTCGGTTCGCCATCTACGAGACCGTGCGGGACCAGGTAACCAAAGGCAGCCAGGGCCCCCTGCCCTTCTACCAGAAGGTCTTGCTGGGCTCCCTCAGCGGTGAGTGGCCAAGGGCGAGTGGGGCGGGCGAGGGTGGTGGGCAGTGCCAGGGGTCACGGGGTGGCTTGTTGTACCAGGTTGCATCGGCGGCTTCGTGGGGACCCCCGCGGACATGGTCAACGTCAGGTCAGTGACCCTGGCCCCCGAGGCCAGGGTCTCGCTGTCCCCTGAGAGCCAACCTCATTCACTGGGGTTGTGGGTGTTCAGCCTGGAACAGGCCACTCGGACCTTGGGGTCCTGGACACTGGGGGTGGCGCTGAGCCTGTGGCAGGGCAGCCCCCGGTGGGCTGGCCGCTCGCTGTCGCCCCCTGGCGTGTGTTGGGGTGGTGTCTGGCCCTGCTGCCCCGCTGAGCCCCTGCTTGTTTCAGGATGCAGAATGACATGAAGCTGCCCCAGAGCCAGCGCCGAAAGTGAGTAGCACGCTCTGCCTGCAGGGTGGGGCCGGGGGGTCGGGGCGGAGGAGCCCCCAGAGTGGCTCTGCCAGGACGCAGCCGGGACTCGCCTGTGGGATCCCATGGAGCTGGCTGACAGCTTCTGGAAACAGGCGTAGTACACACCTCTGGTCCTCTCCTTGTGGGAGGAGGACCCCAGGGCTGGTCACCGCTTCTCCCGCGTGCACCTGCGTGCACCCACGGGGAGGGTGGTTTGGAAGTGGAAGTGAGTGTGGACCTTCGAAAGGCTTTGGGTGCAGGGATTAGTTTTTCTTTCTGTGATGAAAGCACCATGTTGGTGAAACGTAGGGTGCTAGGGAGTCTAAGGTTCTGGCTGGGGACTGTCGCTGCGCTAGGTTCCGGGCGTCGGCCCAGTCAGCTCAGGGGGCTTGTGGCTGCAGGTGAGCGCGTTGTCTGCTCTGGCTGGAGCGTCAGCCCCGGGGAAGGTGGACGAGTGAACCAGGGGAGAGGGGGCCCCACGGGGCGTCCCGTCCTCCTTCCCTCTGTAATGGCCTGCAGACAGGACCCGCCTCGGAGCTGGCAGCCCCCAGAGGGCGTTTCCCTCCCTCTTCAAGCCCTGAACTCCTGTGAGCAGGGAGACAGGAAGCCATTGTCCTCTGGTCCTTTTGACACTCAGCACCTCCTGGCCTGGGATGGGGCCGTGGCTCCCATGAGGGGGGGTAGAAGCTCATGTGGGCCCACTCTGTCCCCGACAGCTATGCCCACGCCCTGGATGGCCTGTGCCGTGTGGCCCGAGAAGGTGAGAGGTGGGAGGGCTGGGCTGGGACCCAGGAGTGGGGCCTGGGTGGGGAGGGGTTTGGGCTGGGCACCCGACTTCTCCCCTCCCCCGGCAGAGGGTCTGAAGAAGCTCTTCTCAGGCGCGACCATGGCGTCCAGTCGAGGGATGTTGGTCACCGTGGGTCAGGTAGGGTTTCTGCTTGCAGTGGGGCTCTGGGGCCCTGTGAGAAGTCCCAGAGGAAGGCAGTGGGCATGGAACACGGGTGGGGCTGGGGCGTGTCTGTGGTGGGTGTGGTGACCGTAGATGACCCAGCAGAGTGGGTACTGGTCAGTCCAGCTGGTGTCATTATGGGCCCCTTTTGGCTTCCCCCGAGTTGGGCTCTGTCCTTTGGGCCCTGACTGTCCCTGCCACCCCACAGCTGTCCTGCTATGACCAAGCCAAGCAGCTGGTTCTCAGCACCGGGTACTTGTCCGACAGCATCTTCACTCACTTTATCGCCAGCTTCATCGCGGTGAGTGGCGGGGTGGGGCCTCCCTGGGGGCCCTGGGATGAGGGCGGGGCTCAGTGGCAGGCGGCTTGGACGAGTTAGACTGAACAGGTGGGCGCCAGGGTCCTGGGGAGGAGCCCACAGGCCGGGGCTGTTCCTGGTGTCCCCATGGCCTGGGGAGGCCCGTTGGTGATGACCCTGCACCCCAGGGCGGATGCGCCACTGTCCTGTGCCAGCCCCTGGACGTGCTGAAGACCCGCCTGATGAACGCCAAGGGCGAATATCGGGTGAGTGGGGCCCCGCCCTGCAGGTCTGCTTCCTTGTCGCGGGTGTGGACGCGGCTGTCCCCCTCCACCCGTGACTGCGTCCCTCCCAGGACCCCATGTGTGTTTAACAGAGCAAGCCGGTCACTGCAGTCAGTGAAACTTCACATGGTGCCTTTATGAAGGGGGCAGGTCCCACCCCCCAGCCCCCACCAGCACGCACCGGTCTTCTGTGGGTTTCGGCACCACAGCACCCTGGGGTGTGCTCCTGGGGTCTAGTTTTGAGCAGGCAGCCCTTGACCTTTGTGGCCCCCAGCCCCACCTCCTGCTCTTACCGTTGCACTTCCAGGATGCTCTGCGGGGCTCACACCCACCCTCAGTGTGACCAGAGTTGGGGGGATTCACGCCTCTCCAGAAGCGGCCTCTGTATTGCGTGGTTCTGCGTTTTCTGCAGGGTGTTCTGCACTGCGCCATGGAGACAGCAAAGCTCGGGCCGCTGGCCTTCTACAAGGTTCGTGGGGGTGGCGTGGGGCAGGGGCCCCGTGGGCCTGTTGGGGCTCTTCACACCCTTCCTTCCTCCCTCAGGGCCTCGTGCCTGCGGGCATCCGCCTCATGCCCCACACCGTGCTCACGTTTGTGTTTCTGGAACAGCTCCGCAAACACTTTGGCATCAAAGTGCCATCGTGATGTGGCCGTGGCAACAGCTGGGTCAGGCCTGGGCCCCTTCTCCCCGCAACAGTTTCTTCCAGAGTGTGGGAGGGTCGGCAGCTGAGCACTGCCCTGAGCCCAGCACCTGCCCGCAGTGCTCTGGCCCCTCCTCGTGGCCCAGGACCCCCGCCCCAGCCCGCCTGGTCAGCCCTTCGACCTTCAACCCCTCGCGAGCTACCAGCTTCACCTTCACCGCCCGCCCCGGGCTCTCCCTGCCTGGGCTTCCAGCGGCCTGCTCTGCCCACCCCTCAGAGGGGGTGTCCAGGCCCCAGGTTTGGTTTTCTCTCCTCTCCCCGAGTAGGCAGTTATCGCTGGAGTTGGGAGGGCGTGTTGTCCCGGCTCTATGGGCTCGGGTCTCCAGCCCCTGAAGGCTCCTCCTTCCACCGCGCCCAGGGTCCGCAGCACCGTCTCCCACCGCGCCCGCTGAGGGTCCTGGGTGGCAGGGCGGGGGAGGCCCCAGCACCACTCCCCAGATGACACGTGTACCTGCGCTTTCATCCTCAGAGAGGGACCATCGCTTTTATGACGTTCCCAAGGCAGCTGTGCCCCCACAGCTCCCAGGCCGGTGCAGAGGGGCCCCCAGGGGGAGGGTCTGGGTGCCACCCGCACCCCCCCGCCCCCGCCGTTGCTTTAACAGCTAGTTTCACCAGAACTCTCAGTGCCAGCAGGCTCTCTGCTGTCTTCAGGGGGTGTGCAGTGTCCCCTCCTGGCTCCCTGGGCAGGGCTGGGATGGCTTGGGGGTCTCCTGTCTGGGGATGGTCACCTGCAAGGCCCCCAGCAGCTGATCAGCCTGATGCCACCACCCAGGTTCCTCTGCCAAAGCAGCCTGCAGGGGGACTGGGGGCTGCGTCCACCTCCCCTGTCCCCCGGGCACTGTGTTCTCCCCACCCCCCAGCAAGTGGCCAGCGGGCCAGCGTCGCCCTGCACGGCGTTAATAAAGGCGGTGAAGAGTCTGGTTTCTGCGTCCAGGGCACTAACTGGCCTGCAAGTTGCCGTGCTTTCGGGCGCTCAAGACCCCCTCTGCACCCTCCAGGGAGGGCTTCTGGGTTCGTGGACAGGCAGGGAAGAAGCTGCACCCCTGGCGATGCACTGAGTGGCTGGGGGCCGAGGACTGGGGGTGTGGAGCCCCCAGGGCTGCCCCTTCCCAGCAGGCGCCTGTGTTTTCAGAGTTCCCAGAGGGGCTGGGAGCCCCTGGTTCTGTGGACTGCAGGCCCTGGGACAGAGGGGCAGGGTCGGTGTGAGCGTTACCAGGCAGCCTTTTGATGTCCTGGGACAGACAGGTGCCCTGGGCAGCTCATCCAGACGTCAGGACCTCTGACCCCCAGAGTGCCACGCAACCTTGGGAGCATATGGAAAACGGGGCTTCAGGTTGTGGTGGTCACACAGCTCTGAATGTCCTGGGAACAGCTGTGTTTCAACAAAGCTGTTAACTTCAGAAAACAGGGAACTGCACCCACATGCCCGCCCAGCCCCAGTGGCGAGCTCTCACCAGGCCGTCTGCCTTCACCCCCCGGACCCTTCCCCACCGCGACTGGGTTATTTAGAAGCCGACCCCAGAGGTCCTGTCATTTATAGATAAAATGCGAGCACATGTCCCTAAAAATGGTCTTTGAAAAAATTCTAACTGCAACAGTAATTCACTCTACATAAGAAACGTGACGGTCCACCTGGTTGACTTACTGCCATCAAAACGCCCGGGGCCCACATGCCTGTCGTGAGGTTGGTTCTGTCTGAACGAGCCCAGCTGAAGTCTCCTGTTCAGTCTCCGTTGCCAGCGACCCCTCAACGCCCTTTCAGAGTAAGTCAAGTCCTTAATCCGGTCGCCTCTCCTGTCAGACTTGGCCCCTTCCTCCACCTGTGAATTTTCTAAAACCAGCAGATAGATCTGGGTTAGGGTCTTGTTTCTGGTGACAGTACTGGGTGTGCTGCAGCACCCGGGGTGCGGGGTCTGGCCGGTTGGGAGGTCAGGGCGAAGCAGCCATTGCCTTGGAAACGCAGAGGATGGAGCCCGACTTCTGGGCCCCAGGGTGGGCAGGGGGCATCTCACTGGGGGTCTGACACCGCAGGGATGAGCAAACGCAGGCCCGAATCTGCCCCAGCACCCAGGTGGGAAGCCACAGCCCACGTGGTCCGGCGGGAGGGGAGGGTGCGATGACGCCTGTGGGACAAGCTGCCGCTTCTCTCCTGTGGGCCCCAGTTGAAAAGGCAGGAAATTCCAGAAACGTTGGCCACTCAGGGCGCCTCCTCTGTCCTTAAAGCTGCTTTGATTTGGAGCTCCAGAGTCCTCTTACCCTGCCCGCAAAAGTGCCCCTGACAGCCTGGGAAGCTGGCATCTCACCAGCCTCCTCCCAGCCTGTCCAGTCTACGTGGCGCCTCCCTGGGCCCCGTCTGGCTTGGCAGGGGTGGGGAGGGACTGCGGGATGGGGTGCAGAGGGTGGACCGGGGGCCTACCCACCTGCCCTGCAGGGGCCGTGGCTCCCTGGACGGGGCCCAGAGGGAAGGAGGCGGCGGGTCCAGGGCAGCAGGAAGGTCCGGGCGGCTCGGAGGGCGAGGCCCTCCCCGCGGGTTCTCCACCAGTGTGAGCACAGGACCGGCCCCACCTCAGGCTCCCGACCCCCCGCGAATGCAGCCCACAGACTAGGCGCGTGGGTGGGAGGGGAAGCTCTATTTCCTGACTCAGACTCCGCCTTCCTTCCCGAAAGAAAGATGAGAGTTTATATAAAAAGTTACGCAATGAGTATTGGTTGTCGAGAAGCTTCAGCCAGGGCGCCGAGGCCGGTCAGCAGGGAGAGGACAGTCTTTTGGATAAATGGTGCGGGACGTGTGGACGTCCACGTGCGGGAGAGTGAGCTGGGACCCTTCCCACGCAGGCGCAGGACCCTTCCTTGGAAGGGATCACAGAGCTGAAGCTAACGCTGGTAGTAGAACTTGGGGGGCGGATGGAGCTCGGGGGGAGAGCGCGTGCTTAGTGTGCATGAGGTGCTGGGTTCAATCCCCAGTACCTCCATCAGAGCAAATGTAAAACCTGTAGAAACGGACAAAGACCACGCATGAGAGGGCAAGCAGGGGCCGCGCACCCAGAGACCCGGCGGGCGGGCAGCACCGCCCCAAAGGCAGGCAGAGGAGGGAACAGCTTCAGCCGGAAAAGGGGGCCCAAGTGCACGCGCGCGGGGGCCGTGGGCCTGGGGAAGCCGCGGGCTGCCGAGTGGAGGTGCCGCAGCCCTGTGGTCAGCTGGGAGCCTGCTTGGCTTTCTCTGCCAGGTCCTGCGCTGGAAGCGGAGGCAGAAGTTAGGGAAGCTGGCAGTTACTGGCCAAATTTGGGCTGATTGCTACAGGGGCTTCGAAACACATCCACACACAAACTCACACGAATCTTCAGCAAGTGTCACTCAACAACGCAAAGGTGGAAACCACCAAACGCCCACCACCTGCCGAGGACGTGGGTAAGGAGTCGTGGACGTGCGCAGCACGGGGCCATCTGGCCGGGAAGAGCGAGGTGCTGACCTGCACTACAGCCCCAGATGAGCCCTGAAGACGTGTCCCCTGGGAGTGAGAAGCCGGTCGCAGAAACCCGTGTCATTACGTGACTCCGTCTGCATGAAGCGTGCAGAGCAGGCAGATCCGGAGACACAGAGCTGCTCAGTGGGGCGGGGGCCGGGGTGGGGCAGGGGAGTGGCTGCTGAAGGCAAGTCAGGGCCGCGTTCCAGAACACATGCTCGCTCCCTGAACTATGGACACCCGCCCACTCGTGCGCTCTCCATGGAGGGACTGCCCAGTGTCCCTCCCCGACCAGACTCTAGCCAGGCTCCTCTGCGCCCGGGTCTCCAGCAGCCCTAGAAAGACTCGGTTTCTGACAGCTCAGGCCCATCCCCAGGGTGACCCCAGTCCCCCCCGAAACTCCAGCAGCCGCCAAGGGGTGGGCATCTCGGGCCCCTGTGGGAACACAAGGCTTGCCTTGGACAAGTGCTGGTGATAAACCAGACAGGGTTGCGTGGCGGCCCAGCCCCTGCCTGCTGTGAAAGTGCCCACCTCCTGACTCCCCGGAGTCTCAGCCCTCCCCGTACCCCCGCTCGCAGTAAAACGCTGGTCACTGCTGCCCAAACCACACCTGAGCTCAGTTCACACTGGAACTGTCCCCACTGAGAGTATGTTGCAGACTAGAACCTGTCCTCCATAGAAAACAAGCTATGCTTACCTAAGGGGAGGGGGCGGGGGAGGGTTAAATTGGGGATTTAGGATTTGCAGATACTAACTGTTATATATAAAATAGATAAGTAACAAGGTCCCACTGTACAGCACGGGGAACTGTGTTCAATACCTTGTAATAACCTATAATGAAAAAGAATGTATGTTATGTATAAATGTGTAACTGAATCACCGCTGGACACCAGAGACTAACACGACATTGTAAATCAACTCTACTTCAATTAAAAAAATAAAAACAGCTCCTTCGTACTTTGTTTTTTTATAGGGGGAGTTGGTCAAGCTTACTGGTTTATTTGATGGAGGTGCTGGGGATTGACCCCAGGACCTCATGCCTGCTAAGCACGTGCTCTGCCTCTGAGCTGTACCCTCTCACCTTGTCCTTTGCACTTTGGCGTCCGGCTGTGTTTGTCTGACAGTGAACCATGTCTCAGTGACGCTGTCTGGAGCTCCCCTGGACAGCGCGTATACTAAAATCAGAACGACACAGAGACTGGCGCGACCCCATGCAGGAGTGACGTGCAAATTCACAAAACGCTCCACATTTTTTCAGTTAAAAAAGAACTCCCCGAGCAGTGCAGAGGAACGGACAGCCCTGCCAGGGTCGGCGTAAGCGGCACAGCAAGGAAGCCATCTGCTGAGACAGGACCACGCCCTGCGTGGCTGCTGACTGGGCCACACACACGGCAAACGCGGTCTCACTACAGACTTTGTCCAGAAGGGAGACGAGCACATTTAACCTTGAAAAGAGAATTCGATCGATGCAAGGAGCCCATTAAACGAGGGATGCGGGTGCCTCCAGCGCCGACGGTGAGAGCCTCACCGGTGTGAGGGCGGCTGGGGACTCGGGATGGGGGTGTGAGGGCCTCTCTGTGCTGCACACTCTTTCCAAGTGCCCGTCCTGCTCTGCCCTTCGAACCAGCACTTCATGGAATTTTGGACCCTGGAATGAGGCTGCCAGCATTTGGGGCAGCTGGGGACAAAGGTCGAATCTTGAAATCGGCCCAGAGGAGCACAGAGGGCCAGAAGGCGCAGGGAAGGGCGGGTGGCCTGAGAAGGGAGCTGGCCTCCCCGAGGCGAGTCCCTCTATTTACAAACAGTTGTTCTAAGTCACCCATGCACCTCGATGCAAGTTCTCACACACGGCAGGGGTTTCTGGGGACAGTGCACCTCCTTCCAGCTGGACCCGGTCCCTGACCCCTTCTTGGAAACACAATTGCAGCCACCAGGACTTGGGGTTTTTTTCCCACATTACTCAAACAGAAAAAAAGAAAAACAGAAGTGAGGCGGAAGAAACTCTGGTCATCGGAAAGTAATTTTCCATAAGGGATGTTAGTTCTCAAAAGACGTTGGAAACAGCGGGGATGTGGAGCACACAGTTTTGTCCCCTCCCCCAACGCCACACCACCCTCGCCCCCACCTAACTGCTGCCAAGCCGGGGAGACTGGAAGGCGGTGGAAGGGGACCCAGACAGCACCCAGGGGACCAGTGCCGCCTCTGGAAGGCTGCTCTGGGCTCAGCGCCCATGCCGCCCCCTCCAGAGGCTAGACAGCCGGCTTCCCAGACCACCCAACTGCCTGGCTGGGCCACACGCACGGCAAAAGGGGCGAGGGCAGCTTGTCCTCGTGACCCAGTCACCATCTCGCTGGTGCTACAAGCCAGGGTCTGCCCCTGGCACAGAGGTTTTGCCTCCATCCTGTAGCAGCTAAGCTCTGGCGTTAATTCTGCCACCCAGACACCCAAGCCTCCCCAGCACCTCCCCGCGGGCCTGGTG